AGAAGGGTTTCTGATCTTCAGGCTCTTTCGGCTCGAGAACCTTTTACGATATTTCATAAGGACAGAGTCATCCTGAGAACGGTTCCAGAATTCCGCCCTAAGGTTACTTCAGAGTTCAATATGAATGAAGAAATAATCCTTCCAGCATTAAGTACAGAAGAATCTAATAACGGGGAAAACGCTGATGATGATGCTATCGACCTAGTAAGATGTCTTAAGATATATATACAAAGATCCTCAGAATGGCGTATTTCGGAAAGGCTTTTTGTTATTCCTAATGGCCCTAGGAAGGGTCTGCAAGCTTCGAAAGCCACTATCAGCAGATGGATAGTTTCGGCCATTATCCAATCTTATAGATCATCTAATACAAGTGTTCCTGAAGGTTTGAAAGCTCATTCTACACGTTCCCTTTCTTCATCCTGGGCAGCTGCAGCAAAGGTTTCTACAGAACTGATTTGCAAAGCAGCCACTTGGTCATCTTCTAATACATTTAATAGACATTATCGTTTAGATGTAAGAGCTGGCCAATACGATGGATTTGGCAGATCAGTTCTTTCTGCCTGAAAGGATTAACTACTATTCTTTTTGTTCATCACATTGAGTTGTTTGTGAGAATACACTTGCATTATATAATAATGTGTCTGAGTTTTTCTTTCCCTCCCTTGGTTTTAGCTTGGGTATTACCCATTGTTGTGCTGCCATGGATATGGCCAGGAAAGAGATAAATTTACTCATACTTACCGTAATTTTCTTTTCCTGGTCATAGGCCATGGCAGCACAAAGGTCCCACCCAGGGATATTGCTGTTAACTAGACTGAGGGAGGAGGAGGTAGGAGGGGGTATTTGTACCCTTATTTTAATTAGTTCCTGTCTAACTAGGGATAGGGGAGGAGCTACCCATTGTTGTGCTGCCATGGCCTATGACCAGGAAAAGAAAATTACGGTAAGTATGAGTAAATTTATCTCTATATATATCACAAGAGGTGGGGGGGGGGGGAATCAGAAGCACATTTGTCAGTCTTATTTACTGAGTAAGCTTATTAGGCATTTGTTTTTGTTCTTTTAATAATTATGGAGGTCAATATGGTAACCCCCATGGTAACAAGTTAGTTATTATCTATTATGCACCCACTCAGCATGCTGCAAGCGGGAGCATGTCCACTATGCATCAAGCACCAAGTGGCTGCCCGCAGTTATAAATTACTAGCAACTAGGTAGTGTAACGGATCACCTGGCACCCCGACCGGGTACCTCCATTGAAGGATGATCCTAGCGCTTCCTGAGGACTCCAAGCACTGCAGCAGACACCACAACCATCGAACCGGAGAAGCATACTAATGCTCTCAAGCATATGAATGCTGTAAGCAGCTGAACAGGAAAAGCATACAATCAGCTTACACTCCTGGCAATCAGCATACAATCCAATTCCCCCAATAACGAGACGACACTTCGTTTTGAGGTCAAGCAGAACTGACTGTACTGGCACATACAGCCTCTTTTATTCCCAATCCACAAATTTAGTACTGCCCACAGGGTTTTACAGAACAACCAATAACACACGTACATTACAGAAAACACTCCCAGCAATTATACACAAAATCCTCCCCTCTGCTTGTGATCTAATTATGGCACACAATGGGTTAACCTAATTATCACAAGCTGGAAAAATACAGTATCATAAAACACATCACAGGGACCCCAAAACACACAATAACCCCATAAAAAGTATATCCTCGGAACCGGGGATTCTGGGTGAACCACATATCCAAAATTCACCCAGATCCGTTCAGTACTTTGGAAGATACCGTTTAATGCAATTTCCACAGAACATATGCAGGCTATATGAAAAACAATTACTGTATAATGTGTCCCCTATTGTATAGTCCAAAACCACTGCACGATGTCTCTGTGCACCAAATACCGACGAGATGACACCGTGTTGAAAAGTCCAAACAGTGTCTGCCATGGCCGCCATCCATTGTTCTCACCATGTGCTTCATCCATTGTTTTCACCATGTGCCTCTGATACATGAAATGGTGGCCACCCAGTAACTCCACAGAATGTCCCCAGATGGTTCTTAAAAGGCCAGCAGCAGCAAAACACAAATCCATTATGCCCAAATCATGTCTTTAAAAAGGGCAATACATCCCAGGGGCCATAGTCACATGGCAGGAGGCTGGCAATCAGTCTTCTCCAATGCCCAGTGGCGAGGTCGGTTTCGCCACAGGTAGCAATTGCTGCTCAGTCCCTAATAACATACAGGGGGGACTTGGCAGGGGGTGTTAATAGTGACATACTTTGCACTTTATTGACAATTACTGCTCCACTCTTTTTTTCTGGCTAAGTATAGATGTTTTAAAAAAATAATAATAGCCAGATTGGCCGGAGAGGATTCGGATATCCTGCAAACTCGGATCTCGGCCAAGGAAATAGACGAAGCCATCTCTGCGTTAAAAGGCAATAAGGCACCAGGCCCAGATGGCTTTGATGGAAGCTACTATAAGGTTTTTCGTGAGGAACTGGTGCCCCATTTGGAGCGTTGGTGCAATGATCTTATGGAAGGAATGGCTCCAGACAGAGACATGTCACTAGAGGACATAGTCCTACTGCCCAAGCCCGGTAGGGATGGCTCGTTCCCGGAAAGCTTGCGCCCGATCTCAATTATTAACCACGATTCTAAGATATTAGTGAAGGTCCTCGCAAACAGATTGAATCCGGTCCTTTCCCGACTGGTTCAACATGATCAGGTAGGGTTTGTAATATCGACCTGATCTGGAGGCACGTCGCAACGGGGCACTCCGACTTTGATGATATCACTGGATGCCGAAAAGGCTTTCGACAGGGTCAAGTGGCCATATCTATTTGGGGTCCTGGAGCACTTTGGCATACCAGCCAGGTTTATTACCGCAGTCCAGGCCATGTATACTAATGTTAGGGCGCAAATTCGAATCATGGGAGCGAAGGTCACCCCATTCCAACTGAGTAATAGCACTAGGCAGGGATGCCCTCTCTTGCCTTTGCTATTTGCTCTCTCGTTGGAACCACTGCTGCAAAAAATATGCGCCGCCCCGGATATTAAAGGGATCACAGTAAGAGGACAGAAATATGTAGTTTCGGGCTTTGCGGACGATGTTCTGTTGACATTAACAGACCCAAAAGAGTCTATGATGGCACTGACATATCTTGATGAACAACAGCGACTTGGCCGGATACAAAGTAAACTTAAACAAGTCTAGCGCACTCAGAGTATGGTATGACCGAGGCAGACGTGGCGAGTATAGGGAGGACACACCATATCAGCATATCAAGGGACTATATTAAATACCTAGGCATACAGTTGACGGCAGACCCCTCTCAATTGTATCAAAACAAAACTACGCCCCGTTGATACGAACCTTAATGAGTGACATGGAGAAGTGGGTGGATAAGCAGATTTCCTAGATTGGACGGATACACTCAGTAAAAATTAATGTGCTTCCTAGAATACTGTTTTCTTTTTCAAGCCCTTCCATACGGTTAACTAAATCTAACCTAGGGTTACTTCTACAGGCCATAGGCAAATTCATCTGGCAGAATAAGAGGCATAGAGTCTCCCGCAATGTGCTCTATAGGGCAAAAAAATAGAGGGGGTTTGGGCCTTCCGAACCTTTATTTTTATTATGTGGCGGCTCAACTGGCCCAAGTAGCGCTATGGCACTCTCCACCAGAGGAGAAAAGATGGGTGGATTTGGAGTTCTCCCTCTTAGGGCTCGATATGCCTCCATTTCTTATGTGGACCGCTAGGGAGCACAGACCGACTGTTCAGGTGACATGCCCAGCTATATTAAACTTTCTTAAACTATGGGACGCCTCTGCACTTAAACATGGCCTAGCATCATCCCCCTCCCCGTTGACCCCCCTTTTGAGAAATAAAGCATTTCTCCCCGGAATGCAAGCACAGAATTTTAGGGGTATAGAGAACACAGGCCTACAGAGATTGTGTCATCTATTCAACGGTGGTTCCTTGGTGACATTTGATGCATTAAAAACTTGGGCCTACTACGCCCCTATGACTATTTTCGCTACATTCAGCTTAGAGATTATGCCCAAGATCCTCAGGTTTAAAAGGCCGCTTTAACAAAGCTAACGTTTTTTGAAAGAATGTGCATAAGGAAACAATTTCCGAGTGGTCTTATTTCGTGTCTTTACTGAGCAGTCATGGACTAGAATGGGGAGAGATTACTTATATAAATCAGTGGGAGGCAGATCTGGGCGAAGTGCTGGAGGGAGTGGATTGGCAGGAAACATGGGAAGCCGCCGCAACGTCCTCGGTGTGTGTCTCTTTGCAGGAACAATCTTATAAAACCTTATTTAGATGGTTCACTACTCCGGTGAAATTGCACCATATGAATAAAAATCCAACTGACTTGTGCTGGAGAGGATGTGGCCAAAAGGGTACCTTTATCCACAAGTGGTGGGAGTGCCCAGAGGTGCAAACTTATTGGAAATGGATTGCGGTGTTACTCTGCGACGTTTTCGATAAAAAGAGGTCACAATAGACCCATAGGTGTTC